GTTTTTAAAAACCTAAAATTTTTTACAATAATTTCTGACACTGTAAGACTGTTGTCAACGTGTTAATTATACCATACAATCAAAATTTTTGAGGCGATCAGGTTTTACTTGACTTTCCTCAACATACCTATATAATACCATATTATTTTTTAAACCTATAATATTAGGAGGGAGGTACTCCGACCAGCCGACCATTTAAGCCACGATCGTTAAGTCTTATATTTTATAGTTCACGTATTACACTCGGTAGTGATTATATAGCTGCTAAAAAGCGGATCGCAATGATAACAATATTCACTTCTTTGCGTTTTTCGAATTTCCCTACAGTACCTAATATTTTCATTTTATTATTATAATTCACCCGTTGCGCAATTCACGCTAGGCGTTGGTGCCGCCGAGGAGGACAGACAATAGAATCGTTGCTGTAGCAGTCGCGTTATTATTATTATTAGTATTTTTTTTTCAACGCCATTATTTATAATAACACTCTTTTGTCATGTGTGTGTGTGTATGTGTGTGCCGTTGACGTCGACCTGGCGCCAAACTATATTTTTTGTATTGTCATGAGGAAAAAAAATCACTCTCTCGCGTCGCGCACACACACGCAGACACACTCGGTTGTTCGTAAACCATATCATTATAATATTTGTACATCATATATATATTTTTTTATTTTATATTATTGTCGGTCGCAAGATTTCACACCATGTTATTATTACAGAGGTGCATTTACCTTGTACCTATAAACCGCCCGTGCGAGCAAGTTACTCAACGTGGGTAATATTTGGTTTTTTGTGAGTGAATCCCGGTCAAAAGAACCATTTTCAGTATATTTATTCAATTTTGTCTGACAGTATTATAGTTTATACCAGCAGTATAGTTTAATTATTATAGAGTAAACGTTAGTTATATTTACGTAAAATAAAAAATATTATTCCACGAGTTCGTTGAGTTTGTTATATGAATATACAATGAATAAGTACGGTTTGAACTTTTGAATTTTGAATAAATAGTCGAAATAAAAATATAAATCAAGAGCCACATAAAAAATCTTTAACAGATGTCACATACAAAGGTCGCTATGGAGAAAGAACGCAAAAATAATGACTCATTTTAGAATTGAAAGGGACATGAAATCCAATTTTTAAGTGGTACTCGGGACAATCAATCCCACTAGATTGGTTTGTACACAATAAAAAAATAGCTGCTTACTATGTCTATGTCCTTCCGATTTGCAACTACAGCTAGGGTCCCGTCACATATAGGAGACGCGAGCTACTTCATTGGAAGTCAAATCACTCAAACCCGTTCTACAACAAAACGTCCAAACGCGTGTAACTAAATTGCCTTTTCAATTTGTCTAGTCAGTTTCCCTATTAAGCTATAGATTGCAAGCTACTGACCTAAATTAAAAAAAATCGATCTCACTAATGGACAATAAAGTCTCACAAAACGTATATTGCGTTATCGAACTCGCCACAGGTTTTTGTTGTTTTAGAAATCATAGTACTTCAAATTTCAATAATGGCTTAGACACTTAGCTATAAACGTACTCAGAACGAACCGCTTCAATCCTTAAAAAAATCACAACTAAATCAAAACATATATTTGGGAAATATGCCGTAATTATCGTGATATATAAATATATAATTAAAAACTAAAATATTACCAAATTTCTATCGAAAAAGTTCGACGGATATAATATGACGCGTATTTAATATTATATTATAATACACGTAATAAAAAAGAAACCTATGCCATGACGTCCGTGAAAAAAAAAACAAAAGCAGTATAATATATCATCGACAACAATACACCGTAAATCAAATTCAATATTCCATACGCATGGTAGGTATATTATTTATTTATTTATATAATAATATAATACAATTTTATTTATAAAATAATATACAACCAAAACACGCGCACGGCCTATGTTCGGTAAACAAAAATCATAAATAACAACGCCATGTTTTAAATCGATTAAAACATAGTTGATATATATTCGTTTCCTTTACCATAATACACGTTGGTAAATATATAGATAGATAGTTGTGATCTTTCAAAGAGATAGCATTTGATTTGTTTTACGCAGCAGTTAAACTATTTCTACTCCAATATAATATGATTTCCACGTAGGGTTATAGAAGAAGAACATTATATTGTTTACGCTAATAATACCGCATATACCTATCTATCTATATTCTATATGGTATATATATATGTAAAATGATTACCTACATACCTATCATAAGAATGTTTTATTTTTTATTTGAACACCTGTTAGAGTAATCCTATATATAGCTATACTAGTATACGTTTCAACGGGTTTAATTATTGCTTGACTGTTTTCTGTGTTATATAGTTATATTACCTTGTGTTGATGACTTGATGTAAACGGGCCTCGTCTGATTACCTTTTAGATTATTTAATAACAAATGTCATATATTGACATATTATATAATTTATAGTAGATACTTATATCTATAGTGTGTAAACGTTAATATTACACACAATATATCTTAGTGCAGACCGCAGAGCCATGTAATTGAATTTCGTTTTTATTTTAAATTAGCTATTATATAGGTAAGTACCAACTTGTTACTTATAGTAGTTATAGTGATACACATGCCGTCTGCATTTTATTTTTACCCTTGATAATGCACATTTTCAATACACCTAACTGTTATTATTTTTACTTAAATTTCAATTCAATGTTTTGACCTAAATTTTTTTTCAATATTTTTCCACAAATTTTAGTGGTTTAACTGAGCCTATAGTTAGAAGAATTAAAATTGATTTGATATTTTTCAGGAGAATTTGTTTTGTTACAATGTGAATTTTTTTTAAATTTTATGTGTATATAAGTATTAGTACCTACAGGCTACCATGTTTTAAGTTTTAACCATCAAATAATTTATCTTATGCTTTACAATTTATTGTTTTTCAACTTATATAGATGAATAATACCTAGGACTCTAAAATTTCAATTTAACATCGATTTTTTGAATAAATAGGAGTAGAACTATAAATATTTTAAACTGCTGCAACATAGCTGATTTCGGATTAAGACAGATGACAGTTGGTTAAGCTACTATAAAGTTCATGCATAAATATAAAAAAATAATAAGTGTTCGAAAAAATAAATGGTACGCCATTTAAAAAAAAAGTTGCCTAACCTAACCTACTAATTGCGTGAAAATACTCAGAGAGTACATGGAAATGTGTGCTATAATTTATGACTATTTCTAATTTAAAAAAAAAAACAAAAATCAAAATTTCCATAGTTTTGTGAAAAGTTGTTGAGCGTCATGAGTCCTCGATATTATTGAGCACACAATATATTATGCATAATTGTATACACTTGTAATACATTTATTCAACTATACCCGCATCCTATAAAAACGAATAAACATAATAATATTATACATTCATGATATCTATCTACATAATATTATTATTATATCAGATGGTAAATAACATGTTTTTGTGTTTCGTGTTTCCGAGTCAACGCTTAAATTATGCCATACCAAAAACGTTTTCAAATTTAGCTTTGAACATGATACACTCTCAGTATTTTATAAATATTATTCAGTGTTATATAACAAAATGTATTATATAAGTTGTCAGTTCGTTATTATTTTCAATATTTTATATTCATAAAATATCGATAACTTCTAGTGAGTCGGTTGTCTTCGTTCGTGCGTACGTCAATAGACATAATATTATACTCAATTCCATTGTTTCGAAATGATAAGAACAATTTATTATAATATTTTAGATTTAGCATAAGTAAGTTATTTTAAAATCATTCTGTATGAACAAATACGATTTAGTTGTGGCTGTGTACACACTACACAAGTAATATTTTGGACAGCGTTTAAACTTTTATTATATACAATGTATCTACCATATAGATATACTATATAATAACTAAAAAATATATTATTAAATTGTTAGTTATTCGTTTTTACAATTGCTGGTAATGTTATGTACCTATTAGTTAGTAATTACTATAAAAAGTTTCCACAGACGCTTTTAAATTTTTTAAACAAATTTACTTTTTGCATTTTATGATATTTCATCGGAATTTGGTCATCATGCTCTCATAAAAAACTTGTGCATTATCCATTAAATATCTAACATGGTAGACTTTAAGACTAAAAAAAAAAATTTCTAAGACGGACGTAGGTATTTTTTATTGGTACTTATTTCTAATCGTGTTCAGCTTGTATATACTGAGTTAACACATTCTAACACGTCATAATCATTACTTCCGAACCTTATACGATAACACCGCTTTGTTAACAATATTGACCTCTATAAACCTAGCTACATAGTGCATATTCGTAGCCAGTATATACTATACAAGGTGTTACGACGACGGTTATATAGTTATCAGTGTGTGCGGGCAATAAATACAAAATGGTAAAGCATGCGGTAGTTGTATCGCGAGCCATGTTTGTATATAGGTACCGTCGACCGGTAATGGAAATGTTAAATAAAAAAAAAAATACAAAAAAATTGTTTAATCGTTACACGTCGTGTGAAAACTTTACGAGATGTCGTTTGTCACACACGACCGTATATATACACTTTGCAGCGAACACTATACCCACACACACACACACAATTATTTACAGCACACAGCACGCACACATTTATCATCGCGAAAAAACCACCTTTATACAATCTATCCATTGCGTATGAAATTCAGACGAATTAAACGCGCGTGCGCGTTATTATAATAATAATATATTATGATGCTGCGATGACCAGACCCCGAGCGGGTTCTAATTGGCCAGTCGCGTGTTATCGTCCACCGATAAAATACAACACATTTAGCCATAATATATTATACAGCCACTATACCGGGACACGAGTTACGTCACATGTATGTATGTATGTACTATACATATAACACACATATTATTATTATATACTAAATATACATACATATATTATTAATATTGTATAGAGGTCCGAACGGCCGCGGTTCGATGGAAATCTGTAAGTATATAAATTGTCGGTACGGTAGTGGTGGACTGCAGGAAAAGAGTATATACCTCGACCTTTTCAACCCGTCACATACATCATCCGGCGGTGGTGGCGGTGGACGTACAAATCCGGGAGGCGGCGGCGGTGGCGTAAAACTCATTTTGATTTATGACCCAAAAAGCACAAACTCGCACACACAAAGATATAGATTTAATGTTCTGACCCTGGCGAAATATGATTTTCGGCGAGCGGAAACTGTCAGGTCGTTCATCAACCACACCGCCGGCTGGGTATCGATCGTCCACCGCCTGTAGGTATAAACCCCATTAAAGAGGCGAAAAGACCGTATTTTTATGCGTTATCCCTCATCCTCCCACCTTTCCTTAACACGCTGGCAATACACTTTGGTGTGATTTAATACCCGGGCCTACAAACACACACACACGCACACACGCGTTCGTGTTTTTGAGGTTTTTGTACCGGAGATAGTTGACACACATCATTAGTACGACTATGACATAGTTGGTTCATCCTGCAGGGTCACGACTGCACTCGAGATAATATTGTTGATACTTCCGATGTGTCGCTGGCTGAGATAACAGAAATCCTATACGATTTTGGCAAAATATTAATAGATGTTGAATTGTTTTAAGTTAGGTATACTCCAAGATAAGAACTGAGTTTTTGGACACTATAATTATTTAAACTTTTATGGGCACTCAAATTGAAGATATCGCTTTCTGCCATAGTATCCTTATTGGTTCAAATCATTAATATTATCATTCAGTCATTCATATTATTATATAACCTTCATCATAATAATATAACCGCTGTATTTACAATTATGGCTGTGACAACTAGTCATACTGTTCTAAAACTGCTCAATATAATGACATCCATTGATTGGGGAAAGAGTTCAAAATATCTCTTTATGGTATAAATGAGTAAAGACATACGTATATACCATGTGGCGTTTATAGAGTAAAATAATGTAAAAAGAAAAATTACTTGAAATAAAAACTACATGATATGTTATTATAAATTACATTATACGATAATTCATGCAATTTCAGCTTGGCAGAGAAAAATTTGGAATCATAATAATAATATGACTTCATATGATAATATGGTATACCTATCACACATCTCTCATCAACCCATGTTGATGGCGTTGGCCCATGTTCAAGAAACTTTGGGGACAACGTGAATATTCTGATCAGCAGGAAAATATGTTTATTCTTAACGCTTGTATATTATATATACAGGTTATCACAAGTTAAGTTAATTAATCTAACACTGTATAATTAAACATGCTGCGACTACACAGAAGTATAGAACAATAGGTATTTGTACGTGCACAACAAAACAACTATACAATACTACACAATACAATATTATGATAGTTTATAGCGTTTGGTATGAGCGTATAGCGTTTTCTTGAATACATCGCCGAGGGCGTCGTCGGTCATCTGTAAATATAGTACTGAACTCTAAAGTGTTTTATGCAATATATTATGATCTAGAACTATATAAGGTTATTTTGATTTTGATTTCAGACACCTATACCTGCAACTACCCACGGCCGGATTAAGACATTTCTCGCCCCGGGACAGGTATTTTTCAGATTATCGATTACCACTCAAAATATTGATGCTATAATAAAATAGAATACCTACCTGTATACAATTATTCAGAATTCTACTACAAAGCAAACATTTTTGGTTCATTATACTGCATCTGTGATTTATAATAGTAAAAAATATAATATATTATAGATATGACTATACTTAAATAAAAAAAAAAAAAAAAACTGGCACCCGGGGGCCGGAGCACGCTCCGCTTCCTGCACTTCAAATCCTGCCTGGCAGACATCATACAATTTATCGCATAGGTACATAATATATGACGTATGAATCGTATGGTGTATATTATTATGACGCGTATAAAATATTAAAAGCTTTTCGAAATTGTGCGTGACACGACAACACGTCGTTGCAGTCTGCTGCAGGTAGGTGTCATATACAATATATTATATATATATATATATATATTGGAACTCTGACGGGCGTTTGTGATTAAACGCTAGTGGAAACGGCCGGAAAATGGTCTCTTTTGTGTGGGGCGGCCGTGCCCTTTGTACTGTGCCGTGTCCGTGTTTCTCGGCGCGTGAACCGTGTCTCGTCCTGTCGCCTTTGACTAGATAGGAAACGAAACGCGACGTGTCTGGATTAATGCACACGCGTCGCCGCCGCCGGCGTTACCACCTCCTAAATAATATATAAATATAATATAATATAATACATATACAATACACATCGAATGTTTAATTTCACCGCCCGAGCGTTTCGCTTCCACGAGACCGATTGGGCGTGAACGTCGCGTATTTCCGTACGATTAAAATAATATATTACTGGGTATATCGTCGCAACGGGAGTCGAACGACAGCGGTCGCCGGCAAAGGGCTCTCGTATTTGATATGATATAATGACTCGTGTGACACTGCACAGTGCTGTGCATTGCGTAACGCTCGCGACGATACGTGGTTACATATGTATATATATATAATATAAATTATTACTTTGTATATAAGCTCGCACAAGCTGTTAATCGAGTTTGAAATAAGCTTTTGTGTTAAGACGACTCGACGATTCCGGTGTGTGTGTGTGTGTGTGTAAAATCGCCGTTAACGACGCGGATCGAGTCGGCTTTTACCATACACTCGTTGTCACGGCTAATCGTCACAGATAATCAACCGCCACTGCCGCTCCATGTGCAGTCGACCATAACGTTTTCGGACGCCGAAGAGACCGTTCGGGAAGGGTGTTTCCGGTGGTGAAGGGGCGGCGAACGGTCCCCGAATCCGGCGTGCTTCCGAGTTTATATACGATAATAATAATATAGTGTGTGCACCGCGTACGGTAATATTATTATTTATATAGGTATATAGGTACAATGATAGTAATATTATTGTCTCGGTCGTATAACGATATATACAATAACAATTATAAATGACCTCGCGGCGCGCACACGCTCACGTGTACAAAGGAAACAGGAGTGATTGATGACTGCAGCTCAGCGTGTCTAAACGATTTCTGGACGAAAACCGTGCGTACGATGAATATCGGAATGGGAGAAAACGACCGCGAGAGGTCTCCACAAAAGCGAAACGTAATAATGATAATATATAATATTTTTTTTCCGTTACCAAGTAATAATAATATTATTATATTACTTAGACTACACACATAAATCGAAATAATCGCGTGTTTATATTAAACAAGTTTCGTCGAGCGGTGGACGCGTCGAAAACGAAAACTCCAGCAGCGATCGTTTACCGCTCGCACGCGACCGTCGTCGTCGTCGTCGTCCCCGTCGAGATATATTTTTTTCCGACGACACTCGTTGTAGTAGTCATGTCAATCCACCGCAGCAGTCGGTCATCAATGATGTCATCTGCATCTTCTTCCTTAGATTCCTGTCTGAAATATCAGATGGTAGAAGTCGAAGCTTGCGGGTTACACGGCGGTCAGGTCGGATGCTTGTCAATGGTCTCGGATTGGCTGTGGCGGGCCGTCTGCTGCCAACGGGAAGTCTGCGGACCACGGATTCGATTTCCCGAGAACCTTTTCGTTTCCGTGGTGCACGACAGAGATGTGGTCGTCGCAGTCCTGAAAAATTCGTCTCTGGTGACTGGTGCCGAACGCGTGAAACCGTGGTAAGTTATGAACCAGTGGCTGCTGCGGAAGCAACACACCCTAAATCAGTGGCGGCGACCGGGTGTTAGTGTTCCACCGGAATATCGTCTCAAAATCAAGTATTTTCTGTTCATACATCAGCGTTAAATCTCGGTTCTCGTTATTTTTTATGTTATTATATTTTTCTTCGTATATTATACCACGGTACACGTTATTGAAAAAACTAGTTAGTGTTGAAATATGATGTAATTTTTATTTTCACAGTAAAATATAATATACTATTTTACATTTTGACATTAATACGGATCAACGGGTCAAAATCAAAACAAAAAACATCAAACCAAAACCAAAGTGTTTAAAGTTTAAATCGTAACACGTAATGTGAATTCGAAACGGTGACGAATGTCGCGTGTGGTCAGTTAACCAAACAATGAAGCAACGATTATACATTATATATTTTACCAATGTTATATACGTTTTAATGACCTAGAGTTAAAATCACTAACAATAATTTACGATGTACCTACCTAATTGTGATTTTTTATCTGAAATAGCGCGCAATGTAATATGATGTTTTTATTATATCCATCTATTTAAAATGTAATATGTTAAGGCGGCTCTTAGTGGCTATTATTTAAGGAGAACAATTTAGGCAATTTCTAATCTTGTCGTCGCCGCCCGTAATCTATGTGTTAGTCGTAAATGATTATTAGTGTGAAATTCGAAGAAATTCGAACTCGATAACAATAGATTTTATATCGCCCGGCTGCGGGCACACGGTTCAATAGCACACGTACGCGCATGCACAAGTCAACGTAATCACTCTCGAAAAATATTTTTGTACACTCACAACAGTGAAAAATGCTAATAAGCTGGCGAAAAATACACATACTTCTAGTAGTCCAATTTCAATTTTGAAAAATTATTTGAATTCGTCAGCCTCTTTTCTATGATTTGTAGGAAACCGATTTTGGATATTTTAGATAATTTACGTATATTACGGTTCCAAATGACTGCTTGATTTCTCAAATTTAACTTGCACTTTTAAGTGCTAACTAGATAAAAAGATGAAAAAGTTTTTCCTACAGATCATAGAAAAGAGGCTAACGAATCCAAATAAGTATTCAAAATTGAAATTGGACTACTAGAAGTATGTGTATTTTTCGCCAGCTTATTGGTCTAAATGCATGAAAAATCCAATCGTTTAGAGCCGCCTTAATAAACAAATTACGGATGAGTTCGCGGTAATAAAGATTAGAATACCTACTTCGATTAGTTCGATTGTTATATTCTCGAGTATTCAATCATAATAGAGACTTCAGACTAGTTTCATCACAATAAAGGTATTATCTAATAATATATTAACATATTTTATGGGATAAACATATAATATATATATATATGTGTGTATTATATATACGTATAGGTAAATATTATTTACGTGTGTACGTTTAAATTCGTCGCGCATAAATCACACGACCAACCATCAACAATAACGCAGTTTTGTTCATGTGCACGTTATACAAAGGTAAAAAAAAAGTAGGTACATTGTATATATTATTATTATATCACCAACTATTATTCTTCAGTAAAACCGAGCCGGTCCGGTATAATATTAAAACGTTGTTGTCGGAGGGGTCGTGTGGAAGAGCGACGACGACTTCGACGACGACAACGAAGACAAAATAATTCATAAAAGATTGTGACAGATAAACGTTTCGCGATTGCGTTCGAATCCCGCGGTGTGTTGTACTGCGCACCCGTCAGCTGTCATAATTTTATTTTCGGTTTTTATTATTGTAATTTTTTTTTTTTTACCATTCCCCAGATAATGTCACCGATATTTTAACACGCCCTTTCGTCTCTCCGACGTACAACACTACACACAACAGTGGCGTCGACGACAATAGCGGCTGCGGCGACGACCCCTTTTTGGATGGCTCTTGTTTGCGGTCTGTCGTTTCACGGGGTTACGACCGAGCGACGGGCCGCGTGTTAAACGGCTAATATTGTAATGGCTCAAAGGCACGCCACCCCATTCATCACCTGCCGCCGTCACTGGAGACTGGAGCGTACTTATACACACATCACTTCGCATTTACGTCCGTAATACTACCTATATATATTAAATAGTATTATGTGCGTTTTAATATTTAAAAAAAAATCGTGGAGGTGACGACTGCGGTTCCGGCCGCTTACCTATAACTATTTGGTTTTTGCGTGGCACACGCACATTTCACAATCAAATGGAATCGTAACTACAATACAATATTGTGCATTTGTGCTGCAAACATATACTACCCTATCACGGCCCGAGGGTATATGGTTTAGTGAATAATATGAGGTCAAAGAAGTTAAAAACTAATAAAACTCGAAATTTTCTTATGTCCACCAATCCGATGGTGGCATTAATTCAATGTTTCACATCACTGGTGAATATTTATAGGTAATTATATAATCTTAACATAGTATAAAACAAAGTCCCTTTTTCAACGGATTTTGATGCTGTTTTTTTTAATTGATAGATTGATTCAAGACGAAGGTTTATGATATGTGTATATAATACATGCATAATATAAAAGAGAAACACCTACGGGAGGTGCTCAAACAGGAATTTTGAGATTTACGATAAAAACTTTTGTTTATTAATGGTTGCTTTATGGACACAAACAAATAGAAAATATTCAAATTAAAAAAACAATAATAATAAATCTTAATCTTAACAAAGTCCCGCTGTCTGTCAGAATGCAAAAAATTTCGAATTGTTCTTTGAGATATCAGGAATGTTTAAAGAGTAGTTTGAATAAACCACGTCCGATGTATACCAAGTACCTACTGTACCCAATCCACCACAAATAAATTGTTCACCTTGGTCGATTTAGTTCACAAAGCTACCCAAATTTATCTGTGACCTGATGTACTTAGGCAGGTAAACAAAAACCAAGATACACTTTTATAATCTAAATTTTTTTTTTTTTTTTAATTTTTGGCGGGCGAAATCGGGTTATAACTTATAAGTACAACTAAAATTGGATGTTGGTTTATCTGAAGTTAAGGGGCTGTTACAGTTACATTTGTTTTCCCCGTCTTACAAGTGCGTAACATAGCAAATTTTACGCTCAGCAAAACACGTTTAACTCCCTTTATATTAACTATAGTTTAAAAGTTGAATTGACTTCTTATAAAATTTGAAGGTAGGTCATTGTCTAGATAATAATCTTACCTTTAAATTGTATCAGAGGTCAATTCAACTTTTAAACTAAAGGGAGTTAAACGTGTTTTGCTAGATTATCAAACGAAAATTGGAATGTGTATACTGTATATACAGCTTGATTTTTCAACTCATATAGGCTGTAGATAGATAAAGGGTAGCTCACACATTTTTTTTAGCATACGAAAAAATATATTTTTTTTGTCAATCTAAATGGTTGCAATTTGTTACATATTATATTAATATTATAATTAGAAGAAATATGGTATATAAATTTACAAATATATTTATTAAAAATACAAATCTTTGGCCTGGACAGCTATAGTATTACATATAGACTATAGTACTTACACGATGTCCACGTTTTTTGTTAATAAAAATATCACCATGAGTAGAAATTCTTTTTTCTTTTTGTGATCTTGTTAAAAAATATAGACGTTACTTCAGTTGACTATACCTAGTTGAAATTGTAGAAGTTATTTGTGTGTATATTTTTGAATACTGAATATTATCATATGGATAATGATGATAACGCTTTCACTGTATCTATAAATAGCTACAGGCTACAAGTACTGGTATAAGCTACATGACAATTTATTGACAGTTGTAGTGTTAAGAACTGAATACACTGAATGCACATTATATTGTTATTATCACGTAGTATGACAATATATTAATTTAGGTTCATAATCGAGTGTAAACTTTAGGATTATTATTTTAAATTAAATGTATTAATCAATGCGTTAGCACACATTACGATTAGTCATTACAGTAAATAACTATATTTGCGTAATTTTCATACATTTTTTGATCAAATTAATTCCAAAATACACGGAATGTACAAATGGTGGAATTAGAAATACGTAATATTATATTTTACTGAGTTATAACGTATGGTATACTTCTGTTTAATAATTATTACTTCGCTATTTCCATTGAAAGTAAAATATGCTTTCATATTATACAAAATAATTTATAGTGGCCTTAGTGAAATTATATAGAGCGCTGAGCAATAATAATATATTATTAAAAACACTAAAAAATGTCATTACTATTGTAGCTCGATAAGTTCGCCGTACGGAGTCTGTAATAAATTGTTGATAACCAAAATATATTTAGGAATATAAAGCTATAAAATTAGTTTAAGTTTTAACTATTTGTTCTATTTTTTCCACTTTGAATTTTATTTCAAACCATTGAAAATCGTAAAATAATAACTGATTTATATACAATATGGATTGTATTTATATATTATACATTCCATTGACAATAAAAAAGTTTGAGCGTTATGCAAACATACTAATCATTTCAAAAGAAATGAAATTTATCAATACATAATCAGTTTAACAGGCCATGACGAATCGATTTAAAAGCAACTCTGTGTAGGACTAGGTACAATTATACATTTTTTTCTGCAGACAGGGCCAGGTCAATAATATTATTTATAATAATATGTAACACGATTTGAAACATGTCCACAGGCCAAGATTAATTTCACTTTTATTACACCTACCTGTGACGACGTTACGACTGTAATAATTATCATTTATAATAACTAAATATGACAATCAATACAACGGTAAGAGGCGGGAGTTATGGAGGTCTGCGTTGTTGTTTAAATTATTTTATACAAATATATATTTAATAAATATAATAGTTTTACAGACATATGATAGACTGGTAAATAGGTATATAATATTATATACGTTGGATTGTAAAAAATAGAAATGAATCAATTTTCAAACATGATACATCATATTTAAAAACTCGATCACGTAGATAAAAGATAAAGTACGCCCACGTCAAAATTTAT